CTGGGGCAGGGCTGGGGCTGGGAGGATGGGTAGGGGGCCCAGCTCAGGGATCATCTAGTCCACTCCCCAAGGACGGGGCTATCTTGTTTTTGGGTTTGTTTAGCATGCATGGTTTAAACATGTCCCCATCCCAGGATCTGCCTACCCATCCCTTGAAGGCCAGAAATTCTCCCTATGGTCTGGCCTCCATTCCTGACACTGTAGTGAAAGAAGGGTCTGTCCTCAGAGGGGTAGGGACGAGGAGCCCCCTTCCTTTTGCAGCCAGCTCTGACCTCTAGGCCTGGCTGTCTCCAGAGCTGACCTGATGAGCACTCCAGGGGCTGAATAACATCAAATGCCCCGGGAAACACCTGGCAGGGGAGCCAGGCTCCTCTGTGGATCCAAGACACCCTCCTCCATGGGCAGCAGGCCCGCGGTGTCCCTCCCCACTCCAGTCCCTGGCCCATTACCTCTCTGCGTCGAGGAACATGAGGCGAGCCACGTTGTAACATGGGCGGGCTTCCAGGACCGTGCAGTTGGGGTAGGCCTCCCTGAAAGAGAGTCCACCATCATCTTCAGCGGGGACCCTGCCCACACGCCCCCAACCTGCATGCATGACCCCATCACTGCAAGACACACATCCCCAATTCAAGCAAGCTCTTTCCTAGTCTACACAAATGAGAGTTCTCTGAGAATACAACTTTGAAATTCCTCCTCATGTGGATCTGAGTCGGGGGAGTGTGCACAGAGGTGTGGGGACTGTGTGAGCGAGTGTGAGCCGCCACGACTGTGGTCTGATTCTTGTCCAAGGCTGTGAACTTTAGGTCGAGAGACTGTTTCTCCTCATGGGTGGCTCCCTTTACCCTGTCCCCAGAACGTCTGGGTCCAGTTCAACATTTAGCCTTGACCATGGACTGACCCCAACCAACCCCTAGCCCAGGCGACAGAGTGATCTCTGCCCCAAGCCCCACCAGAGATCGATCCTGAACCCCGACCTAAGATTGACCTCTAACCCTGCACAGAGTCGGATCCTTTGCTCTGACCCAAACTGATCAGTAACCTAGACCCAAGAATGACCCTCTAACCCTGACCCTAGATGGACCCCAACCATGACTTGAGACTGACCACAGACTGTTCTTGGCTCTCAGTACCTGGTACCTGGCAGGGCTCACGGGGTACCTGCTGACTGGTCTTAATCCCTAATCTGGACTGAGCCCCATTAAACATTGTCATGAAGAGCCAGTAAGTGTTGCAAATGCATGAGACACAGTTCTGAAGCAACCAGATGGACCACACAAACACGAGGGTCTGGAAACTGAAATCTGGGATGGGGTTCTTGAAAAGCACTTCCCGGACCTTCCCCCTGACAATGTTGTTTTCAAACCCTTTTGGGGTTCCTCTTTGGAAGGGCCTCGCCCCTGTGGCAGGGCGAGCCCTCGTTCTCACTAGACTAATCTCAAATCCCTTAATCCCCACCACACAGGCTCCCTGATTTTGCACACAGGATATTCCCTAACTCTGCTGGGCCAGTCCTCCAATCCAGACAGACCCCAGGCCTGGACGACAAGCCCTGCCTAATACTGTCCAGTGGCCCAGGGGCTCCACGAGGACAGGCAGCCTGTGTATCACCACATACCCATGCCTGAGCCAACAGCTCGCACACAGTAGGTGCCCAATGAACATGTGCTGAAGCCTGGATCAATGAAATGGCTACGCATAATATTCACCCCATGTATCCCCCAAACTCTAATTAGGACCACCCCTGCTTATAGGCTAACCACCCATTTTAATCAAAGGCTATTTCCTAAACAGAACCACAGCCCGACCCTTAACACAGACGACGTGGATCACGAGCTCCCCACAGACAGCCACCATGTCTGGATCTTTTTCTTCCTGGTATGATGCACACAGTAGGTGCACAACAAATGTGTGCGGAATGAATGGATGCTTGGCTGTGGGGTTCACTCCCTCACTGCATGCAGGTCTCTGCTCAAATGTTCCCCTGTCAGAGTCCGCCCCACCCCCCGCCCCCATCCCATCCGAACACCCTTCCTGACTCCTTTACTCTGCCCCTCTTCCAGCTTTGGTTTTCTTCTTCTTTTTTAAATATATTCTTATTGATTTCAGAAAGGAAGGGGGGGGGGAGAGACACACATCAATGATGAGAGGGAATCATCAATCCGCTGCCTCCCGCCCTGGGGATGGAGCCCACAACCCGGGCATGTGCCCTGACTGGGAGATGAACCGTGACCTCCTGATTCATAGGTTGACGCTCAACCACTGAGCCACACCAGCCAGGCTGGTTTCCTTCTTAGCACCTACCCCTACTTGACACAGTGTCTATTACCAGTTCATTTGCTTACTGTCCTCCTCAGCCCCCTAGAATGTAAGCAGGTGAAGGTGGGGACCTCTTCTTTTCTGTTTATTGTTATTTTTCCAGTTCCTACTTCAGCGAAGCCACAGGGCAGCTCAAGAGATACTTGTTATTAAAGGACTCATCAGAACAAGCCGACAGCTGACTCCAATTGGACGGTAATATTAAGATGTCACCTAATTCGGAGCATACGCTGTCCTTAATCCTGACCCAGACTGCACCCTAATGCTGATCACGGCTTGAATGCCAGATAGGACCCCAAATCGTTCTCTCATACTGACCAAGTCTGATTTAATGCTGACTGCTGTGAGGGCGGGCCTGTTTCTCATTTACTTATGCCTTCGGGTATAGAAGGTGACTAATAGATGACTATTGAATGAATGAGTGTTTATCTACCCAAGCTGATCACAATGCAGTCATTTTCCCATAACACAGAGGGAGGAACCTGACCCTGACCAGACTTACTCTCAACGCTGTCCTGAGCCGGAACAGCGCCTGACCTCTGATCGTGGCCAACTGACAGTGAGTCCAGACATCACCAAATCCCGATCCTGACACAGATAGCCCTGATTCAGACCATCAATGCCCCTTATCAACTCCTAATTCTGACCACAGACTGACCCCAGGCCACTCTGTGATCAGGCCCTGGACAGGCTCCTAAAGCTGACCTCCATACGGCGAACCCCCGAGAGCTTGACGGTCCTTTATTCACATGATAGGCCCACCACACTGACTCGGGCCTGAGCACCCGAGGAAGTTTGCTGAGTGGCCAGATCCTGCACACAGACCGTCTGGCACCTTGGGCTCCTGGAGGTGTACATGCCCCTCCCGGCTGAGACAGCCTCTCAGAGCTGGGAAGAGCCTCAGAGAACACACGGCCAGGCGCTCCTGGGCGCCACGATGAAGCTCTCCCCGCCAGGCTACACACACATTCCAGACTTTATGAAAAAGCTACACATCATGGACCCTCGGGCGACAACCCACGATCCAGCTCATGTTGGAAAACGGCGGGGATGGAGGGGTTGGGGGTGGTGGTGTGGCACAGTCTGGACTCACTCTCAAGTATTTCAAGTATTTCTCTTGTGTTCCCAGAGGTGCCGATCACCCAGCCCAAGTGTCAGGCCTTCCTAGAGCCAGAGAATTCTTTAGTCCAACCTCCACCCGCGTGCGGCCCAGGCCTTGGAGGGAGAGGAGTGGGAGGCGCGTGAGGAGGGTCTTGGGAGTTGAAAGGCAAAGAAGGGTCTGCAGGCCTGGGGCTGGCGGGGGGGAGTGTGGCTACTCACTCAAAATGCTTCTTGATCTTTTCTGACTCTGCATATTTGGAGATTCCATTGATGAAGAGAGTCCGCTTCACCTGGCGTGAGAGGCAGGTGAGAGGGACCGAAGATGCAGGGAGGGGTGGGGAAGTGGAGAGCAGAGAGGAGCAGACAGAGGTGGACAGGCCTTGGTGAATTTCTAGTAGAAATCAGGCAGTGAGCCTAATGAAAGAGCCATCTGGCCCCTGCAAGTGAGGGCTTGCGAGTGAGGAGATGGGGTGCCAGTCTCGGATCCTCAGGCCGTGAAGACCCAGAGCAATGGCTGGCACGGGGTGTGGGCGTTTGCTAATAGTTTAGGGCCGTGGTCGGCAACCGTGGCTCGTGAGCCACATGCGGCTCTTTGGCCCCTTCAGTGTGGTTCCACAAAATTGGCCCCTTGAGTATGGCTCTTCCACAAAATACTACAAAATACCACGTGCGGGCAGGCACGTTCAGTGCGATTGAAACTTCTTCGCTCATGCACAGAAATCGGTATTTTGGGGAAGACCCACACTGAAGGGGCCAAAGAGCCACATGTGGCTTGCGAGCAGTGGTTTGCCGACCATAGGTTTAGGGAATCAGGGGAGAAGGGGAGGGGATTTTACAACCATGGCATTTCCTGAGCACCAGGCACAGCACGGGTGCTGTCCATGCATCGCCTCACCTCACCTTCCCACCACCCTCAGGACAGGCACTGCTGTTACTTCAGTCGTCGGAAGAGGAAACCAAGGAGGTAACAACTAACTTACAGGGTGGGGGCTCCTGAGCTGCTGGGCCAGGAGTCCAACTGAGCTGGCCTGACTCTGGGGCTGATGTACCTCAAGCTGAGGCAAGAGAGGCCTGGGGCGGGGAGGGAAGAGGCGGGCACGGGTGGTCCCGGCGCTGCCCCACTCACCAGGTCATCCTCCTTGTAGCGCATCTTGGACGTGTGTCTGCGCATGCTGTAGACGGTGAGCAGCAGGTACAGGAAGGCGAAGGAGGTGTGCAGCCAGAGCAGGTGGTTCCTGGCAGAGCAGAGGGCGCAGAAGCCACAGGGGCTCGAAACCCACTCAGACAGCCCCCACCTCTCGGTGGTAATCAAACCCCGGTCCAGGGCCCCTCCACGGCCACATCTTCTGGAACGGATACCCCACAGAGCGGGCCCACACCCCACATCCTCTAGACTCCTAGACGATCCCATTCCAACGGAAATGTCCCAGAGGTCACCTCTTCGTGTCCTCCCCCTGGCTACGCTGCCCTCCCCCTGCCCCCAGGTGGCCTCGCCGGCCTGGCCTGAGCCTGCATCCTCCTCTCGGTTCCTGGTCCTTCCTGGCCACCCACGGCCGGTTCTACCTCTTCTGCTTCCACCACCAGCCTCCGGGCCCCACAGCCTCCGCCTCAGCCACTGTCCCCCGACACTCCCTCTCCTTCCCTCCTTGTCAGGGCTCAGCTCGGACCCGGACCCTGGCCTCACAGGCCTGCTTCTCAAACTCACCCTGATTTCAAGTTGGCAATGGTGGTCCTCCCAAAGCTGTAGGCGTTGTTCTCTGGGGGGTGGGGAGAGGGAGAGGACGGCGGGCGTCAGGGCCTGTGGCCTCCGGCCCCTCCTCTCCGCCCCACCCATCCTGGCCCTCACGGACCCAGCAGGTCCCCTGAGAAGTTGACAGGCAGCACGATGCCCACGGAGAGGACGCCCACGACGACCAGCAGCCCGATGATGTGCCTCTGGAAGGACAGGTAGTGCACGGCGTCGCCCCCGCACTTGTCCCGGATCTCATCATCCCTGAGGTGCAGGGGACAGAGGCGGCAGGTGAGGACCAGGCCACGAGGGAGAGGGCTGCCCGGCC